TTTGAAGGACGAATACAGAGACCTGGTGCAGCGAATGCCACAAGATTCCGAAACGACCCTCCGCAGGTTTTGAATTCAGAGGTGTCCTTCTCAGAGACCAGCTGCCATCCAAGGCTTTAGAACCCAGTCTGTCCTGTTATTTACCCATAGATGGAGGGAGAAAAGGAGTTCATGCCTTTCCCTTGGTTATTAGCTCGTAAGTGAATGTAACAGATTCGACTCAGCCCTCCGATTCCCCAATTCAAACCGCTATCCATTACTCCACCGTACCTCATATATATATATATATATATATACATATATATATATATGAATACGAATACAGACAACGTGCTTTTATTTAATTTTTTATGCAATTTCTTATGTGATCTAATTTTTTTTTCTTTTTATGAATATATTTACTGTGTTTTGAAAAATGAAAACATTTTATAAAACATACATACAACAAACTATTTCTTATTTAACAGATAAAACATTTAATCTTTGAAAATGGCTAAATGTATAGCCGAAAGCGCTCGGATAAGAAGAACATTCGGACAGTTTTTATATAATTTATCATGCGAAAAGAAAAATTATTAGATCGCATGAGAAATTGTATAACAAACTAAATAAAAGCACCTTGTCTGTCGTATTCAATGAAATGTGCATGAAAGAAGGATTGCTGCCTAAATACACACACACACACACACACACACACACACACACACACACATATATATATATATATATATATATATATATATATAATCCGGTGTTCTTAGCAATTATTTGTATTTCAAACAGTAGAGCAAAATATTATAACTATTTTCTTTTTTAAAACTATGATTCCATCGCGACACAGAAATTGTCAAGCGATGTATGGAAAAAAACTTCTAAGAAATTTGTTCAATATATAACTGCAGAAAATCTTTCTTAAGACAATGGAAGGAAACTCTGGATTTTAAGTTTAATTTTCATAATTAAATTTACAACTTTAGTTTTAGTTTTGAAACATAGAAATTTCTATGTCACGATGGAATCACATTTTTAAGAGCAAGATCTAAAAGGTCAGCCAATCTAACAGTGATCTCATTTCACAATCCTCACACTTGCTCCCTATGCGGCCTCCTTTGTAAATCACTAGCGGGTCTTAAATGCCACTTAAGTTTATCGCACAAAATTTCATAACTGAATCAATAGGCTGTCAGATCCTCATACGTCGAAACCGACAGGAGAGTCCATTATATATATATATATATATATATATATATATATATATATATATATAAAATATATATGGGATAAAATATATATATATATATATAGCATTAACCATGATGAATTTAAACGAAACATTATACAAACAAAAAAAGATGCTTTACAAGAATGTACAATGAAAGTATCATTTACACATCTTAATTAGCCTAATTATTTTTTATTTAAAAATGTAACTTTATTTGAAAGAGGAAGCAATTTAATAAACAAAAACACACACACACACACACACACACACACACACACACACACACATATATATATATATATATATATATATATATATATATATATATATATATATATATATATATATATATTAGGAGAGGTGTACTAGTACTGGTTGTATGATGTGCAAATTCAGTACTTAGACTGACTCTTGACCCGCGCCATCTAAAAAGTCATATGGGTACGTGACCCTTCCGACATAAGTTATTAACTGTCCTATTTCTACATTCACAGATCAATTAACCCCTAACACATTTTTCGACATATTTAGCGACAATCACTTTAATATGCTGTGCCCTTAACCAGAACTTACATTCTAATGCTAGAATATTTCGAAACAGGGTACTATTAAGGATTCTAGCGATGAAAGACAGGGTATAAAAAAGTTGGACATAACTTCTTCATCATTGACTTTCGAAGCTGTTCGTCGTGTAATGAATGTCTTATTGTGACTGAGCATTCTAACTTAAATTTCCCAACATACCAAAAAACGTATAAACCTCAATATAACAGTTCTATAAACAGTCATTATTACTTCATTTGGTTTTCGAATTAAAGATGCAGTAGAACAAATAAACAAACATCTTGATAATGTTAAACCAATCACGATAAAGAAGATACCTCTATGGACAATCTCCAGACCTCACATAGACTTTACATTGACACATAAAAATGTTCTATAGAACTCTAAACGGACAGTCATTTCTTCATTTGGTTTTTCGAATTAAAAAAGCAGTTGAACAAATAAACAGACAACTTGATAATGTTAAACCAATCACGATAAAGAAGGTACTTCTATGGACAATCTCCAGACCTCACATAGACTTTACATTGACACATAAAAAAAATACAATCATCAAAATCATATACGGAGAATTAAGAGACAAATATCGTGACTATATACCATTCTAGACAGATGGAACAAAAATCCTAGATAGAGTAGATGCAACAGCCACAGAGGCAAATTCACAAACAAACCAGGCTACCAAATAATACATCCGCTTATACAGATGAACTACAAGCCATAAAAATGGCATTTAGAATGATAGAAGATTCAAAAGACTCCCAATCTACTTTAACAGCAATTAAAGAAAGTAACAGAAATCATCGCTTTATACAAGAAACACGTGTAAGCTCTCTTTCTCTTTGTTTTCTCATTCACCTTTCTCCTCGCTGCCAAAATGTAACCTTCAAGAGCTCCCGTCTTGACCATGCGGTCAGACGTTAAAGAACATTAACAATTCACGCAAGTACGAACTCTTAACTCATCTGAACATTTACCAAATTTATCCAATACACAATTCCTTACATGCAACAGGAACTTTATTCTTCTAAACTACAGTTTAATAATTTGTTCATCTTTATGAGCTCAGGTACAAATATTTCCAACTCTAAGAGACATAACTCATTCAAACCTTCAACTTATATGAATGTACATCAACACTAATAAATTCAATTGTTATGTTTTGAATCATTACATTCTGTCTTGTATTTTATACTAAGTGCTATTTTTACGTCAAATATAAATCGCATTGTGCACGCCACATTGTATAGTAACCCCCAGCGTCTTTGCTTTCCTTAATCACGCCTTTCCTAGTCAAAGTTAGATATATAGTACCAAACCCCTACACTATCGAAGGAAATCAAGAAGCCGATGCTCAGGCAAAAGACTCAACGAAAACGGAAATAACCAACATCAAACTCTCATATACAGATTATAAACACAAAAAATTATACAACACATCAAGAGAAATTTGGGACACGTTCACAAACAATAAACTATAGGAACATCAGCCGAGAATAAGAGAATACAGCACCATTAGCTAATCGTAGACAAGATTATATGGTGTCAATATGAAACCACCTCCACTGGTTAGGGGACAGGACCTGTATGTTATGGATTCATGTATAATTGAGTGACTCACTGGAAGCTTGCAGGACATCCATGTATTCTGTTATCACATGAACTATGATAAAAAAACAAATTACAAGAGATAGATATAAATAATGGTATATATTAATAATTTTTATGCAGAGACATGAAAACTATATCAAGGGTTCTACAAGAGTAAAAACTCTGTCTATATTTTTGAGATGAGGTATTGTCATTATTTATAGAATTTAAATTCCAATCACCTGAAGAAGGCTGCAGTGTACAACAGTCTAACATTGTGAATATGTCAACAAAGATGAGGACAACAGTCCAAACAATGTGAATAGTGTAAATAAGGGTAAAAAAGTTGAGAAAAACTGCTCTAAATGATGATGCTGATTTTGACCTGGGTCCATTAGAGAATAATAGATATTTGATAAAAATTTTCAATCTTCAACTATTTTGTGTTGCAAGCAATTTCGGACATATTCCCAAACAGTAAACTATAGGAACATCAGCTGATAATAAGAATGGAGAATATAGAGCCATTAGCTGATCGCAGACAAGACATAGTGCTCAACAGAATAAGAATTGGGGACACACCTCACTCAAACACACACACACACACACACACACACACAAGCTAGAAACTACATCTTGGTGTACCTATTGCAATCAATTTGTCACAGTCAAACATATATCTTGATAGAATGTAAAAAAAAAACACAAGAAAAATAACCTAGCAACTATCACCAAGCAGAAAACTTTAACATGCTATCCAAAAATGGACCTACTTTCCAAATAATTGATATCTGAAAAAAATAAAATACTTTCAACTCCTATAGAAAATAGAGCTTGAATTTTGAACCATGCAACTTATGTTCTGAAATACTCCTGAACCATTCAGTTTGAGACATTTTGAAATATCTGCCTGACTCAATCCCTGGCATCAGGCTTGTGTTAGTGTCACCGATTAAAGTTCTCTTTTACCTTTGACATTCGTGCAGGAAGTTTAGACAGTACTATGTATGTCCAAAATGTTTAACTTATTCTGTTGCCATTCTTGAGCACCAAACCAGATGGGATAGCAATATTCAATGCATGATTACCCGGTGGTGAAACCACATTTTACTGGTCTGGTCCTAAGGGTCTTAGAATGATGTTTTAACCATAGGGCTATCTCTGTACTGGTCAATGCTGATGCTGGTCGAAGCTGGTTGCTCGTAGCTTCAATCCACACCAACTCTGCCCACACTGTGTTGTTGGTGTACCTATTGCAATCAATTTGTCACAGTCAAACATATCTTGATAGAATGTGAAAAAAAAAAACAGAGAAGGAACCTAGCAACTATCAACAAGCAGAAAATCTTAACCTGCTCTTCAAAAATGGACCTACTTCCCAAATAATAGGATATCTGAATAAAAATAAAATACTTCCAAATTCTATAGAAAATAGAGCTTGGATTTTGAACCATACAACTTATGTTTTGAAATACTCCTGAACCATTCAGTTTTAAACATTTTTAAATATCTGCCTGACCCAATCGCTGGCATCAGGCTTGTGTTAGTGTCATCAATTAAAGTTCTCTTTTACCTTTGACATTCGTGCAGGAAGATTGGACAATATTATGTATGTCCAGAATGCATGTCCAAAACTTATTTTGTTGCCATTCTTAAGGACTTGACGAGATATCATAGCAACACTACAAAAGAAAATGGTAAGAAATTTGGGACATGTTCCCAACAATAAACTAAATGAACATCAGCCAAGAATAGGAAAGGAGAATATATTAACTGATCGCAGAAAAGACATAGTGCTCAACAGAATAAGAATTCGGCGCGCAAACTTGACGCACACATATATACTTAAGGCAGAAAGTTCACCTCAGAGGGCACACCAAATTCTCCCAGGCAAACATATCTTGATAGAAGGTAAGAAGTACAAAAAATACATAGCAACTATTACCCAGCTCAAAATCTTAACATGTTTTTCAGAAATGTACCTACTACCAAATAATACACGCTTAGGAGATCATGTATCTTTCGATACATGACTAACGAAGCAGATTTTTTTCCCGAAGTAGGTTGCCATTTCTTTCTGCGATAGACCAGTTGCCCTCCAAGACTATAGAACCGGGTCTGTCCTGCAATTTACCCATAGTTGTTGGGGAGGGAGAAGAAAAGGATTCACGCCTTTCCGAAGGGTATAAGCACGTAAGTGAAAGTAATGGATTCAGCTGGAATTCGAACTCGGGTCTCCGATTCTTCAATCCGAGCCGCTATCCATTACACTAAAAATCAACGTACTACCCAATAGGATATCTGAAGGAAATAAAATAATTCCATGTTCTATAGAAAATAGAGCTTGGATTTTGAACCATACAACTTACGTTTTGAAATACTCCTGAACTATATAACTTGTGATACTTTGAAAAAAATGTTAAAGCCTCACAACCGCTTGAAAAGTCCTGAAATATTCCTGTATAAAAATCCAGATTCAGCATTAAATCACCCACAGAGGTTGATATGCTGATAAAACAAACCAACCCTCCACTTTTTTTATGACTGAGCATTCGGTCTTCAGACTGGACACCTTTTTTATTTATATTGGCGTCTTCTTTTTTTTTCAGTGATGCAAAAGGCCCGAGTGCCACTTGAAGTAGAGGGTTACAGAGTAAGAGGTACAGCTTATTTCGATATGTGTGAAAGTAACAGTTAATCTTAGACAGGAACAGGTTACGTTTCTACTGATAGAAGAAGCAACAACTTGGGAGTCGGTTCTACAATGCAGTGGCTCGTGGGAAGAGGCTGTTCGATTGGAACTTACATATCATCAGTGTTTCGTTACAATGTGTCTAACATAGCGGGTCTTAGTCCTGGAGGATAGAAATTGTGAAACTAAGGAATGTAGTTCATTTGAACACGTTCCATGGAAATAGCGATAAAGCAGCGAAAGGCTTACGACGTCTCGTCTGTGAGTAAAGGATAAAATATTTATTAGTCGTCACCCACAAGGACGCGGAGACACTCGTGGGCTCTATTGGGAGGCGAACTTTTTAAGCTAAACAAAGTATTAAAAAACATGGAAATTTTTCCAAAAACAAAAGAGATTTAAACTGTATCTGTTATAGTTGTCTAGCGCAGGCGAAGTTTGAGTGTGTACGCATGGGCGCCAACCTGGGAAGGATATTTATTTATGAGAGAGTGACAGTTGTCCATGCAGAACGTTTCCCCTCTCCACACCACAGATGTTGTCCAATTGAAGAGAAAGAGTCGATAATACTTGAAACCGGCGTCGTCACTGATGTTGCCAGAACGAGGCTGCCGCACTGAATTTAGAACTCTTGCTGCAGAAATCATACCGAAATTTTTCTCATGATTGGATGTAGCCGAAATGAAGCTGAGGTCTGAAATCAGTTTACTTCCCCTTAGATGGGCTTAGCTAAGTAACTTCTAAAAATTTAAGCTAGTTCCTGTGTAGGACACTTGGTTTGGCCATCATCACAATAGCTAGGGAGGATTATATGCGATAGGCATCAATAAATTACAGAATTGATCGCTGCATTTAAGTATTGAATTAATGTTTAATCTTACCTTTTAAAAGTTTAACGATAATTCTTCTGCTGCCACTTAATTTAAAGACGATTTGATATACGTAGATCCTTATTTTTAGGAGATAAAATTAATATAGTGTAAAGATGGGAAAATAGAAATTAGAATTAGTTATATATTCAACATTTGAAAACATAATAGCTAATTAAGTAAAAAGTATATTATGGAATCTATATGAATAAATGCAAAATTGGAGCTTAATTCTCCCACGAACTCTGAGATTAAAATGGTCCAGATCTATTTTATAGTAAGTTACACGGTATTTAATCTGTCCCCCATTAGGACGAGAGGTGACACAAGGTCTACTTTTAGGTGGGGACCCGAGCGCGTATACCCGGACAGGAACAAAAATCACTCACGGAAGCAGCTCAATATCAGTATTATATATTATCTACTTCTAGTCAATATCACTTTTCAGGTTTAACTAATTTGCATATTGATTTTTAAAAACTTTTTTATTAATTAATAATTAATTAAAAAATTAATTAATAATAAATTAAAAACTTTATTTTATTAATTAAGTCTGTTCTATCTATCTATCTATTTATCTTCATTACTGTTCTTTTATTCGAGGATTGTTTTGATTTTCATATCCTAAATAGTTCTGTTTAGGAATATCGTCTTATATAGTGCAGAAAAGTGTTTGAAATTTTCATTTTACTTGGCTTTCAACAAGTTGTCATCTATTTGTAAAACTTTCCTTAACTATAACAAACCAATTTATGAATGAAATGTTCATTTAAAATTTTTCTTTCAAATATTTCGAGTAGTGATATATCTTACTTTGCAAAGCGATAGCGATATGAAAAACCTCCTAATATATATATATATATATATATATATATATATATATATATATATATATATATATATATATATATATATATATATATACCAACTTCAGGCAATCGGATGCCTAGATACACTGATGAGCTGTGAACCGGCGAAACAATCTTCCTGTGGATGATGCTATCTATCTATCTATCTATCTATCTATCTATCTATCTATCTATCTATCTATCTATCTATCTATCTACTTATCTATATATATATATATATATATATATATATATATATATATATATATATATATATAAATATATATGTATGTATGTATGTATGTATGTTTTTAGTGTGTGTCTCTCTCTCTCTGCATCTCTGTTTATCAGTCTATCTGTCTAAGTCTGATTCTATCTATCTATCTATTTATCTCATTCTGACTCTATCTATCTATCTATCTATCTATCTATCTATCTATCTATCTATCTATCTATCTATCCCTTCAAGTACCTATATATATATATATATATATATATATATATATATATATATATATATATATATATATATATTTCAAATCTACCTATTTCATCAAATCTATCAATCTATGTATAGGTACGTGCATGTCTATAAATGTTTGCGATATGTCTGCGTTTGTATTGTGTATGCATGCCTGTTTATTGCATATGTACATGTGTGTGTGTGTGTGTGTGTGTGTGTTTGTTTCAATGTGGACACGCAGGTACACTGAGCTTTGCTTGAAACCAGACTGCCAATGAAAATCCTACAATAACACATGCATTCGGTATGCCACAAATGCAGCTGAGCACACATGCTACCACACACACACACATACACACACACACGTAAAGAGACATATACACATGTATGTGTTTGTGTCTGTGTGTCCTGAGTTATATCAGAATAATTCCACAGTATCATGCTAAGAAATTAATTCATTGTATATCCCAAACATTTTTTCATTATATTCTCCTTCATGGCCAATGTGCTTAATTCAGATTTGAACATGGCTCTCATTAATGATATGCACCGAATAATTCATATCATTTCTAATACTCAGGCTATGTTATTAGTGACACCCTAACTCACATATATGCATCAAGCACAATAATATATATATATATATATATATATATATATATATATATATATATATATATATATATATAAAGTCTTAAAAGCAAAAATCATTAAATAGGAAAAACCCTTTCTGTAGTCGTCAAAAAACAAAAAAATAAATAAATAAAAAAAAAAAAAAAAAAAAAAAAACAAATTGAAATTCAGTGCAATACGGTTTGTATATAAAACACCCACTTGAATAAACAAATAAATAAAGAGATAATCAGATGGACAATAATAAAACACAATCCTCCCGAAACATAACGACTTGTAGGCGCGCCATAAAAATATCCCTCACTGCGAACCAACTAAAGGATGACCGCCAACATTAGCCTTGAAATAGATACCCTACCCAACCTTAGCAAAACCTCTCAGAAGATGATGAATCTATGGATAAGAATCAACTCTTTGATCACTTAACGAAGAAAACTAGCCTAGCCACTCCCACAATAACGAATGTTATGACGGACTATGCCTAAAAACACACGTAAACCAAAAGATAGCTTATTCCTAAAATTTCGCTTGAAGATGAAACGAGACTAAACACCTCAATTCAACTTAATTTTAATAATTATTTGGATGATTTCGGCTCTCGTTTTTGAAACATGAGAACTCATATGTAGCAGAAGGAATCATATTTTAAACAAAAATATTATTATTATTATATATATATATATATATATATATATATATATATATATACAATATAAAATGAAAATGATAATAGTGTATAATTCTACTGTACGAACATTTGATTTAAAAGAGGGCTCAATACAGAGAAGAACTAAGTATTATTTATTTTAGGATATTAAAACAAACAAAAAAAAACATGTTAAAAATCGCAAAATGATTGCAATCATGTTTCAACATCACAAATATGCCTCCTCGGGCGTTGTGCTGTTGAAACATGATTGGATTTGTGTAGCGAGTTTTAAAATGTTTTTGTTTTAATATGTTAATGTTAGACTAAATTAGAAATCAGTATGAAAATAATTAAGTTTTAATTTCACGGTAAAATTAAAAAATTAAAAAATTAAAAATTAAATATATATATATATATATATATATATATATATATATATATATATATATATAAATATATATATATATATATCATTTCTTTTGATTTTCGGATGGCGAAATATATTTATTAAATTAAATTTCAGAAACAAATCTATTTTCATGAACGTTTTTCCAAACATTTTAAAATTTTGTCAGGATTATGTGTCTTAATTTTAAAACACACACACACACACATTTCATTATATATATATATATATATATATATATGTGTGTGTGTGTGTGTGTGTGTGTGTGTGTGTGTGTGTGTGTGTGTGTGTATATATATATTATTGAACATAATAGAAAATGAATGTCTATTATGTTTGATCATGAGACGTTCTAATGTTCGAAATTTTGCTTTAATTTCTGGCGAAAATAAAGACAAAAATTGTCCAACATTTGGATATTTTTTATTACGTTGCTTCTGGATTTTCGGCTAACATGAACCATTCTGAGAGTCGATATACAGACATAAAATAAAGATATTGACCGTCAAAGATGACATTTTGATGTTTTGAAATAGAAATATATATATATATATATATATATATATATATATATATATATATATATATATATGACGAAGCTTTGTTCTTTTACACATCATTTGTCGGATTCTATCCATATTCTATCTCTCTCTCTCTCTCTCTCTCTAATATATATATATATATATATATATATATATATATATGACTTGACTCTACATTTGAATGATAAGTCTAACATTTTTAGGCATTTAAACAACATGCCTGATCGCCTACTCAATTCCGGAAAATACTTGTTGACAACACAACTATACTTAAACATGAAAACGATAAACAAAAATTAAAAAACCTTGAAGCTTTATGCATAACACAGTCGAATCCTAACCTTAACAAAATAAAATATGAAATCTTCACAAATATCCTTAAATGCCTATGAATAATAACAGAAGCCATTGGTTTATACCAACGGCTTCCCATATTTAATACTTCTCGTTTTCACTCTCGCGTGGTCATGTGTGACGTCACTATCTGCGATGCGATTTTCGCTTCCGCGTCTCGTATGCACAGGTTTGTCGTTGCTTTGAAATTTTTCATGTAGCAAGTGCGGACTATCATTGTTGTTTTGACTGTGCGTTGTTTGATATATTGAAATTGTCATCTTTGATAATGGCTTATGTAAGCCGAAAGCTTAGATTGGATTTAAACATGTATCAATATGGTGTTTTCCTTTCGTCTTTCAATGATAATGTGATGAAGCTTATCAGACAATATGAAATGAACTTACTTAAAATAAATAGACAAAAATTATATATATTATTTAATGAAACATGCATTAATATTTCTCTCTCTCTCTCTATATATATATATATATATATATATATCGTCATCCACATACAGACTGTTTCGCTGTATCACTGCTCCTCAATGTGGTAAACACCTGATCGCTTCCAGCCGGGACTGAAACCGGGCCGATTTGGTATTAGTCGGAGATTCTCCCCCTAGGCCATCGATGACCGGCAGAGACAAAGGCAAAATTTTGTGTATTTATTTTTTCATAAAAACATTAATCACTCAGATAACTCAATCGCTCTCTCCCTCTCTCTCTCTCTCTCTCTCTATATATATATATATATATATATATATATATATATATATATATATATATATATATATATATATATATATATATATATACACGGGCCAATGATCGGGAGATTGAAGGTTTTGAGGAATATGGAAACACCTGTTATTGCTGTTGTACACTGGTCCACCCTGACCAGAGGTGGTAAGACTTTTTAGGGACCCCGCTATGGGAGAATAGTGTTTTTATTTTTGTTTGATGGCTTATGAAGTACGACAATACATTATGAAAAATATCAACATTGTATTTATGTTAATAAAATGACCAATGGTAAGAAATTTTTATACCTAAATGACTAACAATATAGCACTATAAAAGTAATTTTAATGGTGATTTAATGTAATGGTAATTTTAATATAATAGTATATTTTTATACTTTGGTATAAAAATACATTTTTATTGTATAACAATACATTTATCTCCAAACTATATCTGAACTTACGTTTACCTTGAAAGTATAAAATTAATTACAATATATCTAGTTGTAGCCATAAATTGTGTACTAAACAATTAGATTTCAGTATAAAATAACCCATAGAGGAGTTGATATGCCGCTAAACAAAACAGCCAACCAAGATATATGTATGTGTGTGCATGTGTGCTTGTGTGTGTGTTTGTGTGTGTGTACAATTCATACAAGAGGAAGCGTTGTGGAGAAAAAAGAAGATAGAAAGTAGTGAGAAGGATAGAACAAAAGAAAAGGAAAACATACACACTCTCTCTCTCGCTCTCTCTCTCTCTCTCTCTCTCTCTCTCTCTCTAAAAAAAAGGAAAAGGAAAGAAAATAAAATGGAGGAAAAAAACATGGCGTCTAAGAGGAACTGATCCAGTGACCTGTCATGGCGAATTTGAAGAGGAAAACAAAATGGTAGGAAAAAGGAAAGAGCCTGTAAGTCTCCCCTGACTCAATTCCTTCTTCCCATTTTCATACTTTTGGTAACATAACGCCGATTTCCTTCTCTGGCGAACAACTTCCTCCCATCACCCCCACTTAAAATTTCATATTGAGTCCCCGTCTCGTAAGGGTGCTTTGTTGACTGTACTTCCCACAGAACACGACATTACTACCGTGTTAGTAGAGATATAATTGTTCTCAATCTTCTTCTTCTTTCTCCGTCCGGATGCCTTTAGACACAATCTTTCCCGCCAGAAAACACGGAAAAGCGCCACATCAACCCCGCCACCCATCGCTTACACCACCGCCATGCTGTTACTAAGAGACGCTTACCGAAAAATAAATTTCATTATTATTATTCCCGTGGGTACAATTTTTTTAGGTGTCAAAAGTTGGGGAGAGTGAAAAAGAGGAAGAGATAGAGATATTTAATGGAGAGATATTGAAGAGAGAGAGAGAGAGAGAGAAAGATAGGAATTTGGTGTCATTTTTGTAATACCATGTCTCTTCTGATGTCTAGTTACGACTCTCCGCAGTTTCCTTGTATTTTTAAAATTAATATGTGAATTCAGTCAGTCAGTTACGTGTCATGTGTGATACACGCTTAGGCGATCATGTATCTTTCGATAGATGACTGTCGAGGCAGATTTTTTCCCGCAGTAGGTGGCCATTTCTTTCTGAGGTAGACAAGTTGCCATCCAAGGCTATAGAACCTGGTCTGTCCTACTATTTACCTATAGCTGGGGGGAGAAGAGGAGGTTTCATCCCTTTCCCAAGGGTCAGCCAGTTATGTGCCATGCGTGATACACGCTTAGGCGATCATGTATCTTTCGATATATGACTAACGAGGCAGATTTTTTCCCGCATTAGGTTGCCATTTCTTTCTACGATAGACCAGTTTGCCATCAAAGGCTATAGAACCCTGTCCTACTATTTGCCCATAGCGTAAGTGAATGTAATCGATTCGACTGGAATTCGAACACTCCGATTCCTCAATTCGAACCGCTGTCCATTCCTCTGCCGTCTGTGAAATCGCATGCTTTAATTGACTAAAATGATTTAAAATAAACGGAATGTTTATTCAAATATGAGCATTGCGTCTAACATGAAACAGACTGTCGCCTCTAAGTGTTGACTTCTATGTTCACTTTTATATTTACATAAGCTCTATCTCTTATATTGAGCACTTTATCCCATAAATATAGCACACCTTAAGACTATATATATATATATATATGTGTGTGTGTGTGTGTGTGTGTGTGTCTGTGTGTGTCCGAATGTAAAAGAACGCAGAATAAAATTGCAACGTTCAAAACATTAATTTAAAACAGTGGTCAATAAAAACGTAGAGCAATAAATATTTATTATACACTGTTACATTAGAAGATGTAGGTAACGACTACAAAATTGTACATTTTGATTCGACATTTAATAAACAAGGTCTTATCAGATAGTTAACAACAATGAGACGTTGTTTATTCAATGTCGAAACACAATTACAATGTTGTAATGAATTACCTATGTTCTACTCAAAAAATATGCATAATATATATATATATATATATATATATATATATATATATATATATATATATATATTGATCAATAAAAAATATTTAAAAATTAAAATCTTCAGACACACCAGGTTGTAGATTAATATTCTTTCGTTTTTATTATTATTTCATTTAGATTCCTCGATTAGTTTCGGCTAAAATGGCCATCATCAGGAGAAGAAATATTTCTGCTTGCTGGTAGCAGTGAACTACAGAAATGAATGTCTTGATGGAGAAAATTAACTTTTGTCTGTAGTTTTCATTTGTTTTTTTATTTTTTAACGTGAATCTTTTAACATTCCTTGTGTTGGTCAAACGGTCTCTTTTATGTTGTTATTTGAGATAAGAGCTGGATGGATCTATGCTGCTCTGAATTCCCCTGGTCAGTTTGACAGTTTTATTGATGCTGGAGAGGGGATGTGTCTCTGTTAAGTCTTTGTGTGTGTGTTATTTGGTTCTTAGGGAGTGAGTGAGTATGATATATGTAATACTTACACACACACACACACATATATATATATAAATATATATATATATATATATATATATATATATATGTATGTATGTATGTATGTATACATATATATATTGTATACTCCGATATCATTAATAATAATAATAAAATAAAAATCCAACACTTCTTTAGAAATTGACTATATTATTTAAATGAAATTTTAGCAAGACGTTTCTGATTTCTTAAAGTTCTTTATAAAATTTATGAATTTAGACCCAATAATAAATTGGCAGCTAATTCTCGTTATTTTACAGTTGAAGTATTTCTAGTATTAAAACCGATTTTTACTCTTTCATAGTATTTTGACATCAGTTCATTTTGTCACCGGTTAATTATTTGCCCATATCTGGCACCCTAACAGGTGCTACAACCCCGGTCATGGTGGACATGGGAACACCAGCAATTAAGAAGTGCTTCCACGCTCCTCAAAACCACCTGATCAGAGGCCTTGCTGTCGAATGTAGTTTATCGTCTTACCCAGGACGCGGACTTAGTTTATCGTCTTAATCAGGATGCGGACGTAGTTTATCGTCTTAATCAGGAAGCGGACGTAGTTTATCGTCTTACCCAGGACGCGGATGTAGTTTATGCCCATACCCAGGACGGTCCTTAGAACGATGAGACTTATCTGCCAATTTAGTGGTACACTTAAATTCGTGCCATATCAAGAATGAATGCTTGTTAGAACAATTTCTATGAAGATATTTATGAAAAGGATAGATGGAAACTGAGTCAGGACCAATAACATTACTGGCCCTACTTTGAATTTTTGTCGATAATTTTGAGGTATACAAGTTTAGCACTAGACAAGATATGGCAGCAATATTCAATGCACAGTAGATTTATAAATGTTCAAGATGAATACTGATGTGAAATATTACCTGACACTGACCAAGCAATTAATTCAGTATAATGAGTCTATTTCATGTCAGTGGAAATAATTAAGACTGAAAAATCACAAATTGTTTTCTCCCCTGGAGTTAGCATCACATATGTTGATGGCAGGCAAAAACTTCTTTCTGGTGATTTTAAAATTCACAAGCCATTTCTTGCCCCAGTTAACAACTGATTGGAGATCATTTTCAAAAGCAGCTGTCAGTTTTACTTTATAGGATTTATTGGACTTGCTATTAAGACAGGAGGGAACACAGTTGTGTCATCAGCATAGATATCTAGTTGAGAACTGAGGACATCAGGAAGTTCGTTAATGAAAATTAAAAAAAAACAAGGTAGGTTTAAAGAGTGGCCCCTGGAGACTCCTCGCATTAATAGAGAAAGCTTAACAAAAAAAAAATTGATAAGATATATTTGAACATCTAGCAAACCTTGATTTATTTAGAAAAGCTATTATCATCTGTGAACTGTGATACCTGTTGAAGGTACATAGCGGATGGAACAACAAAATTGTCCAAATCATGTAATATCATAATTATCAACCCCATAAAATGTTTAATATCTAAAAAAAAAAAAAACGCTGTAAACTCTTTGAGTTTCTTTTTCCAGTTTTTCAGATAAGACATTTAGCCATCTTGACACAATTTGTCGTAAGTATCTCTGAAAAACCCTTTGAGTTATACAGCAAAAAGAGAGCCGGTTAAAATTGTTTTGTGTCAGACTCGCTGTCTTCCCAAATAAGCAATGGTGAGACGACAAAGATCATTCAAGCATTCAGTAATGGTACCAACATTCATATTCTGGCTTCCATCTTCAAAGTCCATTCAAGAACCATCAAGAGAACGGTGAATAAGTTTTTAAAAAGAGGGAACAATAGAGAGGAAAACTGGATCATGCGGTCACCATAGCAAGAGGAATCATCAATTCAACTTAGAGTTAAAAGATCTCAATTAGAAAAGATCCAACTCAATCTATAAGACGTTTGGCAGATGAGGGTTTCATTTATAATAGTCCAAAGAACAGTGAAAAAAGACTTCAAAAATCGTACGTGAAACCTGTGAGGCAACTTGTTACTCCAAGACAGAAAGTTAGAAGGCTAGAGAGTGCGAAGTTGGAAAATGATCCTGGAAAAATACATATATATATATATATTTTATTAAAGACCTTTTTATGTTTAACGTTGTTATTTATAGATACAAATGTATTTATGATAAACGGTTTTAAATAACAAAATGCTCTGTTTCGTTCTTTGATAAACAGTATTAAATAACATTTACCGGCCTGAATGTCGAAAATTTTCATAGAAAAATATTCGTTCTTTAACAGGATTCGAACCTGCATCCTTAATATATGTCATTTTTTAACCGATCGCGCTATACGCTGACGTGATTGAAATTATAAACAGTAAATTCGACTTTGTCTACCGGAGACGGACAAAGGCACGTCAGCGTATTCTTCCGTATATTTCCTGTCCAAAGAACATTTTTTCTATGCCGGACATTCAGGCCAGTAATGTTATTTAATACTGTTTATCATAAACAAATATATTTGCTTAAATACTTGTATCTATAAATAACAACGTTAAACATAAAAAGGTCTTTAATAAATAAATTGTCGGACCTTGTCCATTTCTTAATATATATATATATGTATGTATGTATATATATACATATGTGTGTGTGTATTTGAACTTTATTTCAATTCTTCATCAGCTTCCGATCCTTAGCTAGCATTAATTAATGATGAACATGTCATTTTCGTTTATGATCGATTTCATCACGATATTCCTGTTCAGAGTAACTACACATTCTTATTGCTCAAGGTAGAGTCCACTAATGTTATTAAAAAAAAATCGGAGAATTCCAGTAAGATATATTTAATCATTTCTAAGCTACAACGATTCAGAGAATAATCTAAGAATTGGACAATTTTGCTGTTACAAGATTTGGACAATTTTGCTGTTACACCTGGTATAGTGTTGGGTCGCCCGTTGCTTTCTACTTGTTTTAGAAGTTTTCATTTACTTAGACTAGTTGTCATCCAGAAATATCGAAACTAGATTAAATTGTTAGTTAACCAGTACCTGGGAGAGAATAGATCGTTCATGCGTTTCCTAAGGACATTAGTTTCTCGTACGGTCACCAAAGTTAAGCAACGTCGAGTCTGTCCAATATTTCGATGGGTGACCGCTTAGGAATAACAAGTATCGTAATCTTGGATGTGTAAGTGGTGTAACGGATAACGGCATCAGATTGGAAATCGAAGAACCGAGTTCAAATTCCTCGGGTTCATTATATTATATTACGCGCAAATATCCTTGAGAAAGGCATGAATCCATCTCTTCTTCATACGCAGATAATTAGTTAATTAGTATGGCACTAATTCATTATTACAATACTCACGACT